TGGGTGACACTGAGGTGACATTCCCATGGGATCGTGCCCTCCACACTTCCAATGCAAAAGTATTCATTCTCTGTGAATTTTCTCACATTTTGTCACGTCACAGTCGCAAACTTCAATGTGCTCTAATTCTGATTTCATGAGACAGGCAATTAGTGCCCATTTGTGAAGCAGAAAGAGAATATGTTATTTTCGGTTTGTAGAATCGCCTTTTCGTGCAATTATGACTCCAACTTTTGGGAGTAAGTCTGTACTAACAAGGCTATTCAAGCCCATTTAGATCAGCTAAAACGATTTAGGTGTCAAGTTTTGACACAGTCTCAATTGTATTTATATCTAGACTTTGACTGGACCATTCTTAACATAAATTTGCTTTGATTTGAATCCGCTGTTCTCAATCCTGATCTTCACCATGGTTTATCAACACATCTGACTTAAATAAAATAGAAAAAAAACTATTTTATTATCCCACAATGGGGAAATTTAGGTGTAACAGCAGCAAAGTGGGCAAGGATTTGTGGATTCTGTTATGAAAAGAACAAACATCAAATGAACTTCCTGTCAAGGGAATGGCAGGATTTAAAAATGAGAATAAAAAGATTGAATGTCTTTGTTTTTAATGATAGTGACATACTTTTAAATACCCTGTATTGTCCAATGTTCTGCTGAACTACACCACTTTGCTATATTTGTGCAACTTGAATAACGTTAAATGTGGATCTTTTTGGTCATTGATTGGTTGAACTGTTTCCATCCATTCCATATTTCCATTTTGGGTTAATAAAGATGGATGGAATTTAAAATCAATCAATCAATCAAGTTTATTTGTATAGCACATGTCACCAGCACGGCAGTTCAAAATGCTTTGCATTGTAAAATAAAAAAACAAATCAAACCCATCATAAGCACATCATGTAGTCAACAGTTGTGAAAACCAGCAACAGACATTACAACTGGTCAAAATAATCAATACACATCAAATATGAAGATCAATGTTCCATTTATTATGGGTCAAAAGCCACAGGTGGAGTTTTTGCGGTTATTTAAAGGAACTCAGTGTTTCAGCTGTTTTGCGGTTTTCTGAAAGTTTGTTCCAGATTTGTGGTGCATAGAAGCTGAATGCTGCTTCTCTGCGTTTGGTTCTGGTTCTGGGGCTGCAGAGCAGACCAGAACCAGAACCAGAAGACCTGAGTCGGAAAAGTAAAAATAGAAAAAGTGGAATATTTGGAAAAATTAAACGGAATTTGGAGAGTAGAATGGATTTCACAGGACCGCATTTATGCTATTGTTTCTGATGAAGCAGACCGTGTGTGCTGGTTGCCAAAACCGATCAAACTGATATCATCGCCGGTTCAATTAATCTCAGCTCATCCGTGAATTGCCCATCCTGCTCAGGTTGAGTTGCTGTTTCATGAGGGAAAACAAGGCAGAACTTTGTTTGGGATGTGTCAGACCCAGCCACTAAGTACATTATGCAAATACATTTCATGGTGACGAAGTAAAAGCTTGGACTTCAAACAAGGTGTTTCAAGGAGCTTAGAAGTAAGTTATGTGATGGAAATTAACTCCTAACTGTGGACTTAGGGTTTGTAACTTTGAGATGGCAAACTTTTCTACAAAAAAAAAAAACTACTGAAGGAGAAACTGTTTAATTTTCCTTTTAAAATCGTCCGAATGGCTCGTTTTACATTTAAACTAGGGAGACTCAAAAAGCCTGAGTATTAAGAACAACCCCTTGCTTCCCCGCCTGACCGCTTCTTGAATAAAATATGACCTGGCTGAAAGGTTAAGCTTGTATAGTCAAACGCACGGCTTTGTTGACTCTTTGCTTACAGCTTGAGACAGCGAAACAACACTTGAAGCCACGGATGCATCAATCTGAAAATACGAACATTAAGATGGTTTCTCCTGTCACAGCATGCCATCTCTTTGTTCCTGTCATTTCCTTTAGTGTTTGTAGGGCTTTTTATGGCGGCTCTGCTCGTCACAAACACTCTGCCACCGATCACTTAAAAGTGCCGGCTGATTTTTGATTTCTGGCATACAAACATTGAGGCTTGTTTTTTCATAGCTGAGAAGAAGAAAAGTAATTGTAGTGAAGTTTTAGGGGAACAATCTGATAAAAGAAAGAAGGCGTGAAAATGCTGAATCCTACAGAGAGAACTTGGTTTATTATGCCTGCTCAGTAATTCTGTATTTTAATATTCTCTCGTCATTCACATTTAATTTATATTGTGAAGAACTGGTATATTGTTGGCATGGGTCAGTATGTGATTCTCAGAATAGTATATAGTACTTTAAAAATACCGCAGTTTCACAACAACGCCGTTTATGCAAATATTAAACAAAAATGTATCACAGATGGTCAGAATGTTGTGCCCGATGCAATATTCACAAAACGTTAGGGACGTTTATTGTGTTTCCACACCAGATACTCTGGTAGACTCAGTTCAGGGACCAGAAGCTGAACATTTACTACATTTTCAGTTGGTGTGTTTTACACTGAGCTGAGTCAAACCATCCAAATTAATTTGTAAACCTGTTCCCCACCCTCGCCTGTGGTGGCGCTGAATCAAAAACGACTGAAGGAAACAACACGAAAACCTCAGAAAACGACACTGAGCTCAACTTCCTTCTTCACAAAATGTAAACAAAAATGGAGTAGCGTCAGATTTAAGTGGTTGTAAGATTTTTCTTTTTTCCTTGGTAAAAGATCTTTAAGAAGTTCCTTCTGTTCCTGATAGTTCACCTTCAGTGTAAGAATGGGCAGCGCGTTCACGAGGTTGACTGACAGCCTCCTGGCTCTGATTGGTTGTTTTTGGTTTCTTCAAAGTGTGAATTAGTTAATTCCAGTATGTGTAGAGTCTTGCTGTTCTGTAAGTGCATCTGCCTTCTCTCCTCAAATACGTCATCGTGTTTCTCTTGATGACTTTTAGCCAGGCTGCTGCTGCTGCTTCGCACTTTGGTTCTGAATAGTAATGAGAGAACCTGTTTAAGTGTGTGACGTGCCACTACACTCTGAAATGAAGAGCTGCAGGATGTTTCTCTTTTGCTTGTGTTTATGTGCATGGCTGTCTGTGTATACATATACGAGTGTGTCTGTTATTAATGTGCTCATATTTCTGCCTCGCTCACAACCTGCCCTGGAGAAAACGCATCTACAAATGCTCCTCATCAGTCATACATAAGAAAGAGAAGGGGTAATGTGCTGTAGGAACATGTTGTGTGTGTTCTTAGGATTTATCACAGTACATGAAACATGAAAACATGATTTTTTTTTGTTCGTTCTTGTTTTGTTTGGCTCACTCAATGGCCTTTGTTGCTTTTACAAATCAATTATCACAAAAAAAAAAAAATTGACAATTTTTAACCCAGACATCAAAGTCCCAGGCTAAGCTCAACTCCTTATATTTGTTCTATATCATAGATATAATATCTTTCATTTCATGTTTATGAATTTATTAGTCTTTTAAACTGATATGAAGTTTTTTTTTGTTTTTGTCTTTTTTAGCCCCACACAAGCAGTTTGTCAACTGTCGAATTGCGTCCCTCCATTCTCCTCCTATAATAAAAACCCCAAAGCTATTCTAACCCTGTTGTGGCCCCTGATGCTCTCCTGTCCTCAACAGTGCAGTATGTATTTGAATCTGGGGTGTGAATTTCAAAGGGTTCCTCTGCATTAGCATGAGGAACGTCACTTTAATCTCAGCAATCCTTCTTTCTCTAAAGCAGTGGTAAGGTCACATTAAGTTTCTCATCCTAAGACAGTTTGTACCTCATAAATTTTTGAAAGTACGATGACGAGTGTGAAGCAAGCTGGTCACGATTTCAAATGCTGTCATATGCCACAGGGCCGTTCTCCGAATGCCGAGGCGGTTCCCCATACCGTAAGCTGTTAGCGGGAGCGTGGCGGGGAACCCGATGAATGATGCCAAATGGAAAAAAGGCTGACAGTCTCCTAACATTTCTTTCTGTGTGTATCATGTTAGCTGTTATGTGTATATGTTAAAGGAGGGCAGGTGCACATTTCCCCCAGCTGGCCTGCTCTCCAGCTCCCTCCTCTGCTCCTGGAATCAGCCGTCTCTGCATCCCTCGTGTCCCTTCCAGCTCTGCAGCGTTCCTGCACCCTGGTGATTTGTGTTCTCAACGCTTTGTTTACCTAAGCTTCCACCCTTGGTCTGCAGGAAGGCCGTTTCTTGTGCCACTGTGAGTTCGCCCGCTGTGTGCATGAAGCTGACAGCGGTTCCTGCACTGAGCCTGGAGACGGCGCGAGGAAAGTAAAACAGAAAATGTTCCAAAGGAACTTAAAATAAGCTATCAGCATATTGGTGTAAAGATTGGGCTTTTGTGTTGCTGAAACAGTCAAGGACTTTCTTAATCTATTCGATGTCACTTCCTGTTTGGTCTCTGCCTCTTTTTTTTCCAAACAGATTTCTCAAACACTCAATGAATACTTTATCCTGGTTTCTTTCCAGAATGAGCTTTTGTCAAACAGGAATGCTGCTTCTTTTCTTTCTTGCTAGCTTCCTTCTCTCATGTTTGCTGCTTTCATCTCTTTCCTCCACACACATTCTCACTAAGGGAGGCCTGCTGGGAGCCTCCTTCAGCCTCTCAATCCATCATACATCAGCTTTCCTTTTCTTTTTTCTCTCACGGAGAGTGTTTTATTTGGCCCACATAAATTAATTAGAAAGAGTATCTATAGCTGGGCTATTGTTAGCGGCAGCCCACCAAAGCCCCGAGGCTAATAGAGGAACAGCGGCACAGAATCTGTTAAAAAACACGCAGGTGTGATTTGTACTTGCGGTGTCTTCTGAGTGTAAGAACTCGACGCTGTGTGTGTACGGCCGCATACATCAACTTAGACCTGGAGGGAATAAGTTCCCTCCACGTCTCATCATGTCAGTAACAGGGTTGAGATTGCTGCATCTCACGGACAAACGCGTCTGCTTAATGAAAGACCCTCGACTAACACCCTCATCTCCGTTTGTTTTCCTCACCAGACACGAGTTCTCGTGCCGAGGGAAGACCGACGGGAAGAATGAGAAGAGGAGCCGGTCGAATAAGAGATGGCCTCAGGAGAAGTGAAAACCGGTCTAGCAACAGGACAAACTCAGCTTGCCAATTTCCACCGAAAATAATACATGTGGACTTTATTTAGGCAATAGATGCTGTTTACTTACTGCCAGTAAAGTGCCATATCCTAGTGATTCACTCATTTTTACTCTAATCAGCCATTTAACAATCTGAGAGGAAAACAAAAGTTTGACCAAAGCTTTCTAATGACTGCAGGCTACATGAGTACATGTTAAATGGCAGGGATCTCTGGTCAGATTCCTCCGTCGGACATTGTAATGACGTCCCAAATGGCCCAGAGAAAAGGACAGCTGAGACACAGCAAGGCAGGAATCTTATCCACAACCGGCTCCTTCGTCTGCTGGCTCGCTCTGCTGTCGCTGCTCCGACTGCCGGCTGTAACAGCAGACTGCTGGCTTATCGAAGGGGAGAAAGGCTTTGTGTGGCTGGCCATCTGCAGTATGAACCAGCCGCCCTACGAGGCCATCCCTTCCCACATAAACAGGTAGAAAAAAAAAAAACACTTAAAAGCTTCTTTGTAATTGATTTTTAAAGTTTTTGTTTTGGTTAAATATCTACTACATCCGCAGCACGATTGTGGATCTGAGGCTGAATGAGAACAAGATACGGTCGGTGCATTATTCCTCGCTCAGTCGCTTCGGAAACCTCACCTACCTGAACCTCACCAAGAATGATATCAGCTATGTGGAAGACGGAGCGTTCTCAGCACAGTTTAACCTGCAGGTGAGCCGTGATAGTGGATACATGGACACGTCTGTATGCCCACGCACAACAAAAGTATTCATCTTTTATCTACAGAACGCATGCCCTAACATCTAGAGACCCAAAACTGCCTTTTTCTGTGAAATAGCTCAAACTCAGTGAGACTGGCTCAAGTGTATCTGAGAACATGAGATGTTCACTGATACACACCAACACATGTTAAACCCCACACCAATTATTCTAAACAAATATCAGATGCAATAATGCAAACATAAATGCATAATATAATTATTTTACTAAATAAAAACAATGGCATATCTTTAGCTGATTTTAAACATTTCTGCATTGAGTCCAGAAGTCTGGGCCGTAACAACAAAATCCTCGGTGCACTATCGCTGGAAGTTGCTTATGTGATCCTTGCTACTGTAGGAATTTTCAATTTTACAGGAATTCATGAAGGTTAGCAAAATGGATGGATTTCTACTTGAAATCCATCCATTTGACACATGTCAATATCTGATTGATCACTGTGGCTTCACACTTTGCTTTGGTAGAACGGAGCATCAGGGCCAGACTGGGAGAATTTGGTTTTCTTACGACTCTGCTAGCAGCCTAGCAAAGTCACGGTCTGGGTTACTTGTCCTGAATAGGACAAGACAGACAATCTGTGAAAGCTCAATTTGCAGAAATAAACCTCTCAGTCTGAAACAACCAATCAGAGCCAGGGGAGGGTCAGCATTGGGCTCTGCCAATCATGTTTGTGTATGCGCTGCTCACATCCTCCCCATTTGTTCTCTGCTATATTGGAGATACTTTCCCACAACAAAATTTGCCATGAATGTTAAGATTAGTTAGCGAGGCTACCAATGACGGTGAATATCAGTTTTTCTGTAACCATAAATTGTTTCTCTGCCATTAGCACATTGAGCAGCATAAACATGAGGGTGATTCCCACTGCTAAGGCCCTCCTCCTGGCTCTGATTGGTTGTTCCTGACCAAGAGTGGTACTTTTCTTTAGATGACACAGGGAGAAGTCAGGGAGCTCAATTTTATTCACAGATTATCTCTCATTCTCTACTGATATAGTAACAGTTTTAAGACATATGTAAATAACATCTTTTATAAAAGTTACATATTGCAGCTTTGATGGCTGTTCCTAAATAATACGGTAACAATGCAGCACTGTTGTAAAAATTCTCCCTTTTCGTTTTTATATAAATTCAATCACAAACCTAGAAAAATACAAAAAGTGTTTAATCAACTCTAATTCCAGAACATAAATAATACAGAAATAAAAAGACTTACTTAATATTTTGACTCTGTGAAAAATGTATTTATATTTTGACATTTATGGCTTTGCGATTGAGTTGTCACAGTAATCAATGACGTTTTCTGTGTGATGCTTTACTTTTATTCAAATGAAGGATAAAAAACCCCTCCCGCTTCACATATGCGAATGGAAACCGATATGATGTTGAAAACATCCATTCATTTATGCTTTTCAATAATGAGTCTCCATGCAATCCACCCGAGCTGCTGGAGCGGTGCCAGGAGCTAAAATGCGAACAAGACAGATCTGGGTAAAAATTCATTCGCAGCACAGAGGCTTAGATCACCATGTGAAAAAGTAGCTGTTCTGAACCGTCAGCTGTTAGTTCTGTATGTTTGCAGCTTGTAGTGAGCAACGCCTGGCACTGTCGAGCTCTTCAGAGATTAGGATAATCCCACTTGTCTTTGTCTCCCCAGGTTCTCCAGATGGGCTTTAACAAATTGAGAAACCTGACAGAGGGGATGCTGCGGGGCCTGGGCAAGCTGCAGTATCTCTACTTGCAAGCTAATCTCATCGAGACTGTTACAACCAACACCTTCTGGGAGTGTCCCAATTTGGAGAATATAGATCTCTCCATGAACAGGTACTGTGTGCAGCTTTGTATGTGTATAACAAACTGGTGAAAGAAAGAATGGTGTGGATGCACAACAAAGTACACCGCAGAGCGGAGAGGCAGTAGAAAGAGAAGCTTTATGGCTTCTATTATTTCTAAATTTAAGAATTCATATAGTTTCATGACTTTGGACTTAAACTATCTTTCACCTGATAGCTACACAGACAAAACATAAAGATCAAGTTCTATTTTACAACACCGGACCATGGATAAACACAACGCTTGATAATCTCTGTTCTTACCTGAACAAGGGTCCTATGCTTTGCCGCCTCTTAATATGAGCACCGACTTTCTAATAGCAGCATAATGACAGAATAAAGATCAAAAGACAAGACCATAGACATAATTTGATTCATTAAATAGTAAATGGTCATCAGAACAAGATGAGAGAAGACTTTGGGGTGAGATGTGCAGAACCAAATTGCATGAGTGCATCTGTAAGTCTCTGTCTTTCCCTGTGTCCAAATCCAGGATCCAGGTTCTGGATGGCAGTTTGTTCTCTGGACTCTCCAAGCTGACGACCTGTGAACTCTACACCAACCCCTTCAACTGCTCATGTGAGCTTCTGGGTTTCCTGCGCTGGCTAGCCGTTTTCCCCAACAGAACCAGCGAGCGGATGGTGTGCGACTCCCCTCAAGGATTCTCCGGCTACAACCTGCTGAGCCAGAACCCTCGCATGCCAGCCCAGCGCAATGCCTTGCACGTGCTTAATCTGGTGTGCACAGATGACGGCAGCAGCGTGACACCTTTCTACATCTTTGACTCCACCACCCAGCTGCCAGACTTCGCCTCCCCCTGCGGACTGGATGATTGTGCCTCAGGGACGGCTCCCGACGAAGTGATAAGCAACAGCCCTAACTTGATAGACTCAAAGCCTATCATGACAATAAAAAAAGTGGAACATTCGAGTGCAGTGATAACAGTTCAGATTCCCTATCTGTTTAAGAAATTGTACATACTGATTCTGTACAATAACAGCTTCTTTACTGAAATCAAAACTCTGAATAAAAACAGCGAGGATATTGAGCTGAAGAACTTGACACCTAACACGGACTACACTTACTGTGTGGCTTCTACCAGATACTCCCTGAGGTTCAACCACACATGTTTGACCTTCTCTACTGGTCGAAGAGCCGGTGCAGAGAGGATTCGCAATCAGTCATCCGCCACACATTACATCATGACTATACTGGGCTGTCTGTTTGGCATGCTGCTCTTCCTTGGCCTCGTCGTGCACTGCCTGAGGAAGAAGAGGATCATGGAGGAGAAGGAGAGAAAGATGAGCAGAATCCAGAGGACGTTGATAGAGCTGAAGTATGGCGGGGAAGGGGACATAGAGGGAGGGAGTGGAGGATCTGTCTCACAAAAGCTTGCTGTGGGTGAAAGCCTGTCCAGAATGCCCTACCTTCCCCAGGGAGGCGAGATTGATCCGTACAAGCTTCAGGAGGTGATAGAGACTCCAGGACACAAGTCTGCCAAGCTGAACTACATGGAGGTCAGAGGCTCTGGTATCGAAAAGGAACGGGAGCGAGAGAGAGAAAGGGAGATGTCACCACAAGCCAATTCCCAGGGCTCAGTAGCTGAGATCTCCACCATTGCTAAAGAAGTTGACAAAGTTAACCAGATCATTAACAACTGCATAGATGCTCTCAAATCCGAGTCCACATCCTTTCAGCAGGGAATAAAGTCCCCGACTGCGGGTGGAGGAGCCGTTTCGACAGAGGAGCCACAACTGGTGCTTCTGTCCGAGCAAGGAGAGAGAGGAGGGGAGTTCCTCTCGCCCGTCTACAAAGGTGGAAGAGGAGGAAGAGAAGAACGTTCGAGGAGTTACCATCCATCTTTGCAACGACATCACAGCATGGAAGCTCCTCCGACAACCAAACGGCCAAGCACCTCCTCCTCTCCTGGCTCGGCCCGGAGCCCTCGCTCCTTCCGCTCCGAGGGAGGGTACCACTCGTCAGAGTCCCGCTACATTGAAAGAGCCTCACCCGGGGAGAGGGGAGGAGACGCCATCCGCACCGTCAACCCAGCTGCGGCTATCCTACGGGCCGAGGCCCAGAGGATCCGTCAGTACAACGAACACCGTCACTCCTACCCAGGATCACAGCAGCATCTCCAGGAGCTTCAGCATCATCCTCAAGTCTTTCAGGAGCTTCACCACCATCCGGGAGGTCACAAGCCTTCTGTGTTGGATCCCATCACTCTCAGCAGGCAAGCAAAGCAGCGGGAGTTAGCCTACTCCCAGCTGTCACAAAATTACCCACTCTCACCCCAATACCACAACCTCAGCTACTGCTCCAGTCCTGAGGAAGACGAGGAGGAGGAAGGGCTCCTATGCACCCCGACCCTAGGGCTTTGGGAGAGGTTCAAAATGCACCGTAAAAGGCATCGGCAGGCATCCTTAGAGGACGAAGGATATGTGGCAGCTGGGCATGCACTGAGACGGAAGGTTCAGTTTGCCAAGGATGAAGATCTTCATGACATACTTGACTACTGGAAGGGTGTATCTGCCCAGCAGAAAGCTTGATCCCATATGTGAAGTTGCCAAACACCTTGAACTCAGTATAACACCCTGCATCCATAACACACTGATACAAATATGTGGATATTTTCATCAAAGACTTGTAAATATACACAAACAGCTTATGGGATTTACAAAAAATCACTTTGCACATACATGTTTACACACACACACGCACACAAACACACACACACACACACACACAGAGACACAAAACACACATGCACACATTTTACACAAACTAAGCCTTTTCCTCCCGAAACGGATGAGGACCAAGCTAATATACTTATCGTGAACAAAAATATGAATAAATTGAGACTGAGACACTTTTTTGTAATGTAATGGAGATTATAGCTCAGACTTATGTAGCTATTCAATAAGTTTCGAAAGAAGAAACGTAGAATCAACATTAAGAATAGAAAAATCCCTAATTGTGATAGGAAAACCCATTTTGAACAACCCAGTGATGCTTTGGATGCTCCCAACAGACTCGCACTCAGCAGAGCCATAACTATTGCTCTCCTAAAGCCGAGTCAAACAACCAGAAAAGCAACCATTCAAAATGAATGTACAATGTTATTCAGAGGTTTTCATACGCTCATAAAAAATAATCCAAGGCTTCTAATTATTCATTCGGTCTTTTCTTTTTCAGGGTGGAATGATTATACAACTAGTAAGCAGACATTTACTGTCATATTTAAATGGCAGTCAGTCACTGTTTTTACTCTGTTTTTCAACTATTTTAGTGTCAATCTGAGGAAAAGCTAAAACATTTTGAGGATGTCTTCCTCATTTATTAAACCACCTGCCTTGTGTGATCAAGCAGTTATTGCTACTCAACAGCAAAAAAAAAAAGCAGTGGCACAACGCTGCCTTTGCCATGATTGACAGATGATACAGTATTTTTATATCTGAAATGCTCTACTTAACTTTTCAAAGCATCCCTACTGTCAGCGTGACATCATAGCTTCATCTATTTGTCATCTGCACAAGCAATTTGTCTTTGAAAGGCTGCTGAGAATCTAATTTCAAGAGAGGCCGGCTCATCCATGTTGTAAAACTCAGAACGAATATGACAATATAAGAAACACAAAATCAATACATCTAAAATGGCAGCATAACAAAGAGAAAAGCCAAACTAAAATTAAAATGAAAAATGTCAGGGTCTCTTCATATTACAGAAAAGATTCAGCTTTCAAGCACATCTCCATTTTCCTTTTGTTTATTTCCCATGTGATATGTTGAAAGTTTAAAATATCAATTTTGTTTGTCAGAAATAACCTAATATTTTCATAAGAAAATGTAAAACATACGAACATCAGTGTACATAAAAATCGTCCTTAGGGCTATTTAGGAGCAGCATGCTGAGAACAGTAAACAGAGGCAAAAGTGAGAAACAAGAGTCATTTATAAGAAGAAAAATGTAGAAAAAAGTATTTTAAAATGTGAGGTCTTGCATACAAATAGGATTCTATTTTTTTCTGCTATAACGCCTAAATTAGTTTGTATTCTAGAAAGTATTACTAAGCCTATTTTAGAAAACCGTTATTTTTCTGCAATGAAAATAGATACATGTTATTCTAAATGGACTTTAAACTACTGACTCGGAATCTTCCAGGTGGTTTTCCAGTTGTTCCTGAACATGGAAGCCGTTTTCATCTCATCTGAGACAGTTTGGGTCTTTCAACCTGACCTTGGCAGACTAGTGGCAAATAACAACTGGTAGCTGCTTGAAGTAATAATAGTCATTTAGAAACTAACATTACTTATCAAAAGACTGAAATCAATGGACAGTCATAAACTAAAATATTACTGAAAAGTCTATTTCAGACCTGGACTAAATTGTTGGCAACCCACTGCTAAAGACAGAAAAACCCAAAATGGTCATTGGAATAACTTGAAGCTGACAAAAAAAAAAATTACTAAAACCTGACCAATGAAAATTAGACATTGCTTTTAAAATCTGGTTCAACAGAATCATAAAAAAACAAACAAACAATGAAACAGTCCTGGACAAAATGACAGTACCACTAGAAAAGATAGAAAATAATGCTCAAGCTTTTTGCAATAAAAAAATATTTTCAATACAGAAATGCGGGACTAACCTCCTCACAGGCTAGTATTTTGCCCACACAATTGTGTCATCATTCCACCCTTGAAAATTGAATCTCCCAAATAAACTATCAAAATCTGCAAATTATTGCGATGACGACAAGTGTGTGCAAACACATGACCACAGCTGCACTCCAACCAGAGTTTGGGAGATTTAAAACATCAGATGACATGGTTCTGGATGGGTGCCCAAACAGCAGTAATATTTCAATGTGCTGAGACTGAGTAGGTAGCTCTTATGAGAGAGTGAGTATAATGTGCCAAATCAGCCGATGGGGTAGTAGAGCCCTACTGTGTATTATCTTCTTCTCACCACTGTTTTTATATAGAGGAATTAAAAAAAAAGAGGGTAAAAGAATATATTATAATATGTTGTTATTATTCATTATTCTTATTCTCATTACTAGTCTTCATATTATCCCTACGATCCTCAGCATTAATACTTTATTATTTGAATACGGCATGGCGATGTTGTGTAACCGTGTTTTTGGACTGTTTTGAAACTCTCAGCCGAGAAGTGCTTAAAAACAGAAACCAACAGAAGAGACGTTCGTGTCCTCCTTTTCTACTGAGAGGAATATGCTCTGTCCTCTGAGCCAAAAAAAAAAAACAACACACACACACACAAAAAACTAAACACAAGCCAGCCTTTTCTGTTGGTGAACTTCTACTACATGTGCTCTTTGTCATCCTGAAAAGAGAACGCTGTACAGAAGAGAGAAAAGTTCTATATTTGCAACAAAAGTGACTGTTTTGTTTCTACAACATGGCTTTGAAACCCTTCAGACTTTTCAGAAACCTCAGAGTCCCAAACTTAGCTACTCGTCCGCTCACCCGCACTGGTGCGTTTTTGATTTTGAACCCGAACTCAAAAATTTTAATCCTCTAATGAATGTCTTCAGATTCCCAAACAGGGAAGTCAAAATGCACTGTTCAAAATCAGAAAACGACCGTGATTGAACGAACCAGAACTCTCCGCTTCTTTCCTGACACACTGTAGCTCCACTGTGTTTTATAAACCTTTCATTTGAATCCCGAGTTTTTATCTCTCTTTTATTATTATTATTTTTTATTTTGGACTCTTCTGGTTCCACTGTGGTGCCATAGTGCCAAACTTGAGAAATCACAGGTATTTAAAACTTATCTCGAACAATGCTAAATACAGACCTCTTCTGCTACACATGGCTAAAGTGAACTACGATTTGCACAAAATGATCCACCGTCATTGGCTCGCTGAATCCCCGCTATCCTCAAAATCATTTTTATGACCAAAGTACTGTGGTAGATAATTGAGTCTTACGCTCTTCTAACCAGGACTCAGACCACCATCACACTTACAGTTACTACATCATCAGCACACACTCTCATGCTCATAGAAACAAGCGGAAGAATGTATTCTTTGAGATGTTATTTCTCTTCTGTAGGTAGATTAAAGCGTACAAGCAAAAATTTAACCGGCTCCATTTACGAACATCCTTCAGATCGCGGAGGTTCAGAACTGGATACTACTAAGAAATTATTGCCATTGTTCAAATAAAGTCATTGATGAAGGAGTTTTTAATAGAGTAAGGTTTTGTTTTTATATATTTTTTGTTGTAACAGCGTTAAACTTTGATTAAATGTGGTAAGAAGAGGTGATGTTTACTGTATCTAAAATATCTGCACGACTAAGCGATATAGTTCAGAGTGTTTGGAAGTGGGCTTCTGTGGAGTTGAGGTCAGTAGCTACAATCTTACCTTGCAACAGAAAGCGCTCATGATCTTCAAAAGGTTATTGTTTTCTATCTTGTCATTGTTAACCTCACACAGCAACACACAACTAAAACAACGGGGCAGTTCATGTTGGGAGTGATGACCTTCAGTCGCCTGAAGAACCTCACCACTCCCGACCAAAAACAACCAATCAGAGGCAGGAGGAGGGTCTTAGCAATGTCAGTCACCTTTGTGTACACGCTGCTAAATGTGCTAATGGCGGAGAAACAACTTACAGTCACAGGAAAACCATTTATCCAATGCTAACTAGCCTTAGCATGCACTACAGTCTCAGTATAGTAGAGAGCAAAGAGGGAAGGGAAGATTGTGATTGACAGCGCTAATACCCGCCTCCTGGCTCTGATTGGTTGTTTCTAGTTAGAACAGGGAAAAGAAAGAGAAGCTCATGACATAGTGACAGTTTTAGTAAATACATAAAAAACAATATTCTTTATACTGCAGCTTTTTGGGGTTATCTGACCTTTCTCTAGTTGGAATTGGAAGAGATGTTCTTACATGGTTGAAAGCGTCAACGTCACCCAAATGTCTTTGATTCTTGGAGAATTAAGAGATTTTTATCACCTGATGCCCCTTAAACTAATCTACAATGCAATCAGGAAACCCAGGGTCATCAGACTCCCTGACGGGGATTTGTCACTCTAGAGTTCAATTGTGCTGTTTTTTTACTTCCATTACAACTGGTAATGTAAGGTGTAGATGCACCAGCTCACCTTTATGTTCTGTAAGCACATTAACTGCAGATAAGATGCTGACTACTGAGTAAAACTCCACAGAATCCACTTTGAAACAAAATTCTCAAACTGTTTCTCTTAAATATAAAAGGTTTTCAAAGACATTAAATGAGGGATGGAGTCAAAAATTATGACACATTTAGCAAATTACATATTAAACAAGCCTGTATTCACATGACTGATTATAATATATTGTAAAAATTAAAAGTAAAACACATTCACAGTGGGCCATCTTTACAATGGTTTCTGGTTTGAGGTACAAAATGACTCCAACCTTGAACAACAGGTGAACAATCATATTTTTGTTGTTTTAGAAACAGTGTAGAAATATTCTCTGCTGTAATGTGGTCAGAATGCTCAAGTAATTATTGCTGGTTAAAACCAGTGGTGGGCACCACCTGCTAAAAAGTCAATTAAAAAGATAAGAATAAACGGTAAAATGTTAAATCAACACTTAGCAAAAGCTAAAGCACTAACTTAAACCATATTGAATTTCACACCAACCTGTAAGGTTTGAGCTTCAGGAAGTGATTTTTTGGAGTGGATATTTTACTCTTCTCATTTTTCTGGTTGTTGAGTATTGCTAATGCTGTTGCTGATTTGCATAATTAAACACGGTAGGTCTACAGGCTGTTGTTGTTCTACAGCAATGCATTGTGGGTACAGAGCAAGCAGGAGTAGCATTGTTATTCATAAATATTCTGCAAGGATGTGGAAAACTTTTCTTCATCGAAAACATTTGAAAATTACTTTAACAAATGGGGCTGTTCTATTTGAAAAGGAAAATATTCACCTTAGGGATACCGAATGTTTATGTATGTTAAGTTTATTATTATTTACAGTAAATATATCTACACCTTCAAACAGCTGCAACAAAAACCTAAGTTTCAGATTTTCTTATCTTAAGAAATGTTAAGGATTCTATATAGTGTCTATATATAGTTCTTAATAGGAAGTTCATAAGCTAAAGCCATTTACATATGTGCCCTCAAAAGGTAGATCAATTTTGGAATTGTAATTTACATGATCTGCAATGCCTTAGATATTGTTTTGTACTGTCCTAAATGCACTAAGAGCACTAAAGATTTTTAAAGTTAGCAAAAGTGCTAAACCAAACATTAGCTCCGCTATTAGCGGAAGTGTGCCCACCACTGGTTACATTCATTGGTTAATAAAATTCCCCGTTTATAGAACTGCACAAATACGTAATGTGATTCAAAGGTTTTTTTATGGTTGGTGTTTACACAGGAGCAGCGATGAAATGGTTTCTCAGTCCGATTCTTACTGATGAGAAAACTGTTGAGCTGCAGTTGCTTCTGTATTACACGCCCCAAATTCTGGTTTTAACCGAACAACAACAAACAGCCTTAAAGCATTTGATTTTCTGTTCATGTTTTTAACTTTAACATTGCTTGTAAAATAAAATAATAATAATATATATATAAAAAAACACTACACACGATCCGGGCTGGACTTTTTCAGTCGCTTGAATCTTTAGCCTTACTTGAGCATTCTTTGCGTATCGGTTGTATAAATGTAGCAATATACTAAACTGCTGTTTTGGTTTGAAGATTTTTCTTTCATTGTGTTTATGAACAGCTTGGATTTGTAACATGTCGGACAGAAAGTAGCCGAGCTTAGACCGAGACGCCAACGAGAAGGAGGAGGTGGTTCAAGCAACCAGACAACAGCGACCACAATCAGTGCTGCTAACCTTTGAACATCGATGTACCACTGTAAACTGTTTGTTTGACACAATTCCTCGGCTGTGGATATGAACTGACGCGTTGTTGACGAGTGACACACACGGCAGAGGGGAACCTCAGTGAAAGCTTGCGTTATATTCTTCTTGAGAACGACTCAGGAGAGAAAAGGCAAGAGAAATCCTGAAGAGGGAGAACATGCTCTACCGCAGGGTCTCTCGGAGGCTTTATTTTCTTGTTGAAAAATGAAAAAGAGCACAAATAAAATCGCCTTCCTTAACCCGTCTCCTTTTCTAAAGAATTTTTTTTCTACAATCCACATCCAGGACTTTCTTTGCACACTACTTACTTGTGAGGAAATGTTTACACGGCTGCCTTTTCCAGATCACAGGGCGTACTCTAGCTTAGATAGCTTTTAATTTAATTTGATTGTACATGTTGTACATATATATTTACACACAATACTCCAAATATTGCACAAAGCAGCAGAAATGACAAAAAGTTAGGTTTTCAGAAAAACAAAAGTTTATAAGCACTTGAATCTTGCAGTCAGCTACAATATTCACTTAAGCAAACAAATATGCTTTCTACATTGTGCGTTGTAGATTATATTTCAATAATTTTTTAAAGCAACTTTGTGATGTGAAAAATATTGAAGCTGTATTTTTCCAGAGGTAGATCCAGTCAAAATAGCTCATAATTCAGCCATATTAAAAGCCATTCACACCCCAACACACTTTTGAAATGTTTGCTACACCACTGACATCAGCCAATACACACATTTACTTGGAGGTTCTGTTGTTACATTTACAGTATAATGGTCATGGTGACAGACAGCAGCAGCAGCGGTGTGAGTGGGTTGTAGAGTGTCGGTGCACGTTTGTGAGCTCTAACCTAACCTATCTTCACCATTATAGTTAGTATGCTTGGACTAACCCTATGCATCATAGTCACAAAGATAATGACTCACCATGTCTCGTCTCTGTGCTGGCTTACAGATCTGAATGTGTGGAGAGAACCGGCCCTGTTAGGGCAGAAAGGCCCTAACCCAAGACAGGAAGATGTTAGGTTAACATCTTCCATCTGATGTTAACCTAAGGCAGCTCAGTCTGTGTCTTCATTGTTACGTCATCCGTCTCACCCATCGTCATTTTACTTCCTTTGAGGCATCTTAGATCTCACTCTCAGACTCAAACCGACACAGACAGAGAAGTACTCGGCTTGCAGAGCTTTTGAGCAGACTTGAATATCCTGCCGAGAGGGAGAAAAAGATTTTTAAAAATATTTCTATTTCAACATTTTTATGTTTTGTGACCTTTTAAACTTATATTTACAGAAAGACACCAAATGCTGTTATGGACGTTGTGTCAGCTTCTTAAACAGAACCTCAAAAATAAAAGACTCTGGTCCTGTAGGGCAGATTGAGGATTCTGCACAGTATCTTAGCTGTTCTCCAGCTCCTTCTTGTTCCTTGGAAACAAGGAAGTTACATTTTCATCAGCTGTTTTCTGCTAATGACCAGTGATCCCATTAGCTGCGTTTCCATTACAAATGTGCGCAGAACTTTAATATTCCACTAATGTTGAAAAAACTCAATTTTGCAATTGCGGTGTTTAACTTAAATTAAAAAATGAAATAAAAAATCACACGTGTATAAATTTGTTTACATGATATGTCATTACAAAACATGCCGCACCATAATCTTCCATGATTATTTTTGACTTTGTGCCAGTGGCAACATCTGGCTGTAACTCGTGAGAAAAGGGGTTTTATTGCAGTTTTGTGTAATAAACCAATCTTGATATAGCAATAAAATCATTTTTCTTTCCAAAAAACTAAAACCAGTTCAAAAAACAAGTTTTTTTCAAAATTGGCATATTTATTTTCAAAATGTGACTTTGCACCATTATATGTTCAATGGAAATGCAGCTGCTATCATCATTTAATTTAGTTTTTGGAACCATTCACTCATTTGGAATTTGATTTTTGCAATAAGTTCCAAAAATGTTGGGACAGGGTCATGTTTACCTTTCAACACTCAATGAGTGTCTAAGAACTGAAGATACTCGGAAACTTTGTAGGTGGAATTATTTTCCCATTCTTGCTTGACATGCAACTTCAGTTGCTCAACAGGATCTTTGCTTCGTAGTGTGCCACACATTTTCAGTGTGAGACGGGTTTAGTACTGGCAGTCTAATACTACAATCTCCACGCTGTTGCGACACGTGGAGATTGTAAGGAGGGATGACTGAAAAAAATGGCAAGTCAGGAGTTGGAATCGCAGACGCTGGAACTTTGCGCTGATAACGATCCAGACAGATCTGTCCATCTTTGGTCTGGAGGACACAACGGCCATGATTCCCAAAATCAATTTGAAATGTGGACTAGTCAGACTACAGGACGCTCTTCCTCTTTGAGCCAATCCATCTCGAATGATCTCTGGCCCAGAGAAGTCGGCAGCGTTTCTGGGAGTTGTTGACGGATGGCTTTGTGTGGTAGAGGTTCAACCTGTAGATGGAGAGACGAACTGTGTTCACCGACAACGGTTCTCTGAAGTGTTCCTGAACCTATAACCTATAACTCTGTTGCAGAACAATGTCGGCTTTTAACACAGCGCTGCCGCCTGAGTCGTCGAAGGTCACAGACATTCAATGTTGGTTTTTGGCTTTACTGCTTTCTTGAAGAGATTCCTCCAAATGTTTTAAATGTCATGATATTATGGACTGTAGAAGATGAAGTCCCTAAATGCCTTGCAACTATACATTAATAAGCATTTTCATAAACTATTTGCGCATGCAGCTGTTGACAAAGCAGTGAACCTCGCCCCATTCTTGATTGTGAATGACTGAGCCTTTCAGGGATGATCCCTTTATACACAGTCATGAGACTCACCTGTTTCCAGTTAACCTGTTCACCTGTGGAATGTTGTGTTTTTAGAGCATTCCTCACCTTTCCCAGTATCTTTTTTTGCCAATATACCAGCATCAAATAAAAAAAATTGAATATTTGCAAAATTCCAATAAAGTTTATCCATTTGAACATTAAATATCTTGTCTTTGTAGCGAATTCAATTGAATACACGTTGAAATTCATCTGCAAATCATCATATTCTGCTTTCATTTATGTTTTACACAAATGAAAATGGCTCTGATTGGTTGTTTCAGAGAGGTGGATTTCTGCACTCCATTTCTAACTTCATTGGAAATGGAGTTGTACATTTGAATTTCCGTGTGTGTGTGTGTGTGTGTGCGTGTGTGTTGACTTGTCTGTTCTATCACTATAACTGTATTAGGCTCCTCAAGTACCAAATAGTTCTCCCCGGGCGCAAACAATAACCCATCCTTCGTTCGCCACATGACATTTACAGTGCAGTCCTCCGGCAGGGATGGACGGTGGCAGATATATGAAGGTAGAAAGAGAAGAAGAACAAAATGACAAAGGAGAAGAAATGGCATATTAAGAAAACAGTCTAGGGAAGATAAAAGAGGACGGAGGGACCGGCCTTTACTCATTTTCAGAGTTTTGATTTCTCTCAGAGCCCCAAGGAGTTACTCTTTGTGAAATAACTTTTTTTTTTTTTTTTTTTTTTTAAAGGGAATTGTTTTTTTTCTTAGAGTAAAAAAATTAATGGGGGTGGGGGTGTGAGGAAAAGACCATTTAA